GCCCCAGTCTTCACTGCGTGATAATGACTGGGGAGGCGGGATGACCACTGTTAATGCAAACTGTGTTACAATAGCACTTTTTAACCAGGACACACGTTATTGAAGATCACAAAGTGTGAACTTTAAATTGAAGCCTTTTTAAAGATGTATTTAAAAACGTTTCACGCTTAAAGTGTGTGTGTTAGATAATGTAATAATAATCAAATATTCACTTGCAAATTTGAATTTCTATTGTCACAGCGTAGCAATGCAATCTCAGCGCAGATGCAGCTTTTGACGGCCCTTAGATTTTTTGCCACTGGCTCCTTTTACACCATGCACGGAGACCTTCATGACATGAGTGCACCATCAGTGAGCAGGATAATCCATCGAGTCTGTAGAGCCATCAATAGAGAAGCCAACAGAGTCATCAAGTTTCCTGTGCGCCAACATGATGTGAACAGAGCCCAACGCGACTTCTTTGCCATCGCCGGCTTTCCTGAAGTTGTTGGAGCTGTTGATGGGAGTCACATCCGTTTGTATGGTGCCCCTCTAATGGATGACGAGCACCTATATGTTAACCGGAAAGGCTGGCACAGCATCAACATTCAAGTCATCTGTGATGCTAACTACCTGATCACAAATGTTGTCGCCAGGTGGCCAGGCAGTACACACGACAGTGCCATTATCCACGGCAGTGTCATTGGTGACATGTTTAGTGATGGCAGGTCAGTCAATTATCTGATAATTGGGAAAAAAATGGAACATTTAGCCAATCAAATTTGATTGAATCGCACAAGCATGAGCACAAACACTAACAAAAGATGGCTTCTTCTTTGCTGTTGCAAGATATTTAGTTCACTTCTTGATTTTAAAGCCAGACAAGATGTGTACGCAGAATTACACAATGTGATAGCTTGCGTGAACAGTATTCAGTAGTCCTAAGTAGTTTTAGTTTTGATAAGAACAGTCCCGCTTTAAGTTCTAAAAGAACTTGTCTTTGGTCTTAGAACTTAAAGCAGGACTGTTCTTATCCATTAACAGCAGTCACCCCCACACCCGGTCATTATCACGCAGTGAAGACCGGATCCTCACACTGTTATTCCCATTAATAAATACCTTTTTAACGAAATAAACAGTTAAAATGCTCCAATTTTGTGACTTTCCTTCGGCGATATTTCCAGACTTTTTGTGTTCATGTTCATGGGCCATATTTTAGCTTAACAGGTATAATGACGTAAACTCAACAGAAACTGCTGCCGTAGTGAAACAAATTACAACAATGTTTTCATATCTTTACCTGATGGAGGAAGCTGAAATCTCGTTTACACATTCCTTGTGTCCGGAGTTACAAAGATGCTTGGTTTAGGAAAGGTAAATATGTCGGTGGGTGAAGTGTTCAAAGAAAATAAATCGTAGATCTACGTTTTCGTCGTAAACATCCTCAGTATATACTGCACTGCTGTACGATGTCGTTTCAAAACTTCCTTACGCGCGCACACGCACGCATCCCTAGCAACTGTGTTGCGTACGCGCGCGTCAGTCTCACGCGATGGGGGTTGAGCGCATGTGCAGTGCTCTATTGTTACAAGCTACTGCAGGACTGTTACTATATTTTGACCAATCATTGGCTTGCATGGGGCTGAACGGGGCTGGATCAATGCTGGTTCAGGGGCCATTTATTCGCTTGATCTTTGAAGCCGGTCCATTATCACCGTTAATGCCCGGCCACGTGATCGAGTCTCGACCAATCAGAAACCATCAACTCTCCAAGGTATTTATTAATAGAATCTAATTGAAATCATGTTTGACGTGAACAACATAAAATTGTTAACCGAATCTTCATTTTCAGGCTGCAAGGTATGCTCATAGGTGATTCAGCATATGCCCTCAGACCGTGGCTGATGACACCAATTGAGAACCCCATAACAGACGCTGAAAGAAATTATAACAGGTAATGTGATTCACACTATTTGTCCACAGTTTTTTTAAATAGGGGCGGGAGCTTTTGATGTGCTGAACTATACATGTACATGTATATTTGTGTGCATTTTTTCACTCTCATTGGGGGGGGGGGGGGGGCAGAGTTCTGAGAATGAGACTCCCTCACCCCTCTGGCTGGGCCACTGAGTAATTTAAAGGTTGAATATTGTATAAAAGGTGTAATTCATACTTGTTATATTGACTTTGACTCATGCCATATTTGTTTATTTTTCCCAATTAAAGGTGTCACAGAAGAACAAGGGTCAAGGTGGAGCAAACGTTCGGTCAGCTAAAGCGGAAATTTCCATGCCTGGCACTTGGTCTCAGGGTATCACCCAGTAGAACATGTCAAATCATCAAGGCTTGCTGCGTTCTGCACAATCTAGCCAAGATCATGGGTGAGCCTGATTTTGAGGAGGAAGTAGAAGTTGAGGAGGTTGGGGCTCTGCCATATGTTGGAGTACTCCATGATGGTCAAGCACATAGGGAGCGTATTATTCGTCAGTATTTTAACTAAATTGATGTATTGTAAAGTTTCATAGTTAATTCAACAGATGTTGAAATGTTATAAAAATTAGAGTGGCCTCATATTTCATCCTGAGCAAGGACTTTTTCAGAGGCAAAGGATTTTGCATTATGTGATTTCTTGCCTCTGAAATTGTCCTTGTTGAGGATGAGTGGGAGACTTTTGAGACAATGGTGGCAGCAAACACACAGGTCCTTTTTTCATTGTTTGCGTCATATTGAGCACGCGCTTTAGCTTAAACATGATGTAAACAATTGAGAAGGACCGGTGTGTTTGCTGCCACCAACGTCTCAAAATCTCCCATTATCATATCAGCCAACTCTTTTTTTTTTATTTATGTATATTTCAGGTCAATCTAGTCAGTGAGCAGTTTGCAGCAGTTTCTTCTTCATTTTCTGTAATCTGTTTTTATTGGATGCAAATAGGATGGGCAAGTAAGAGCAAGAAAATCAGCATGGGCAAAAAGAACAGGTTATCGTTAACCCCCCCCCCCCTCCAGTTTTGGTGACATGTAAAGACACACAACTATTTAACAAACAATTGGAAATTAGTTCACAGTAACTATTTATTGTGCTTCTTTGAATAAAAACATACAGTTCAATAATGTATTGCTCTCTTCCAAATGTAAAATATAAATAAAAACGCAGGAGTACTCTTTATTCACACTTTTTACTCTCTTCAAACTAAGATTTTAAGCATCCTCTTGAATAATATATCATGAAAAAATATTATCTAGTGTGCATGAGATGAAGCAGGTTTCTTGCACTTCGGGTTTTTTTGTTGTCTTTGATAACTAATTTTCCAAACAAACAAAAAAGGCCCAGAATCGGTGATATCCCCTGGAACAGTGTGAGTAACTTAGAATTTGCAATATTTTTTTATATGCATGTTAAAGTTAAGGTTGAGTTAAAAAAATATATACAGTCGAGTCTCGTTAATACAAACTCCATTGGACCTAGCCAAATTTGAAAGAGGAACATCAGTCCCATTCATTGTGCACATAAATGTACAGTCGGGACTAAGGCTTTATGTTTGTTATAACCAGAATTTTGTATTAACAGAGTTTGTACTAACGAGATTTGACTGTAGATAACCTTTACATGCTTTCGTGGATTTTGGTGAAACTTAGATGCAGTGACCCAAGTTGGGTAGAAAGACACAATTCTTTGGATTGTTGAGGTCAAAGGTCATGTAGGGATCATCAGAGGTAATTGTTTAAATACCCTACTGTTTCTTTGTCTACATAATATGATATATTTTAATGTTACTTGGATGGAGTGATCCTTGGGTAGGGGTGTATGACACCTCTTTAGAAAATGGAGGTCATAAGTGATCTAGAGGTCATTTGAGGAATTTAAAAAATATGCAAACTTTCACTTTTTTTTCGACACATAAAATTATCAGTTGTGTTGTATCTTGATTTTTTTTAAACAAAATACAATTATGAACTTTCCTCTATGCCAATCGATGTGATATTTTCTTCAGGAATGCTTTAAAAGATATGCTTTAAAATAGTTCTACATTGTATTTACATGTCTGTTTAAAGGTTTAAAGAAAGAAACAAAGAGAAATTCATAATGATTTAATACTTTTAAACAACTTGCAAATAAGTAAAATGTTGAACTTAAAATTAGGCACAGTGGAAATAGCTAATGAGAACAAACTTTTTTGTAGAACCATTCGGCATAAATTTGTAGGAGTAGTGGAGCTCTGACATGAGCCCATTTGTACCCGATATTGCAACCAGACTATACATGACTATACATCGAGTACAAACATGCTCTTCTCAGAGCCATCACTAATTACATATATTTTGCCGAATGTTGTTACCTCAAGTTTATCCTTATTAGATGGAAAAAAAACCAACAATTTTAGGACTCAGATACGATTACTGCACCGTGCTTCTCCAGTGTAAATGCCACTAGTATTTGAAAGGAATGGCTAATTTCCTTCAAGGCTTCCGTCATGGCTTGTGAAGCTTCCAGTTGTTGCCGAGCTATTTTCAATTTTTCTTTGTCGATCTGCAACCTTTCCCTCTCGATTTGGAGTATGCTCTGATCTCTTGCTATCTTCTTCCTTTGTACTGGTGGTCTTGAACTTGCAGTGCTGCACTCGCCCTTTTCTCTCTCTATTTCCTTCTCAACCTCCTCTGGCTCTACCTGTACGGGCTCCACCTCCTCCATATCTACATCAGTGTCGATGGTGTCACTGCATGTGATAGCTGTAGCAAATGAGTACAATTATATCATCGTCATTTGTTTGTTTTTACAAATCGCATTTCCCCTTCCTAACAATGAATTTGATAGACACATGTATTTCAAATAGTCTTTAAATCATTTAGTTCAAAAATCGTCAACATGTCTTATTGACTTAAACAAAGAATAACACTATTCTTGAAATCAGCTGTGTCTCAGACTTGCATGTCATGAAGAGAACAATTCAATATAACTATCCAATAAACACCGAAGTTCATGAATTGAGTGGAAATAAATACTCAAAATATGTAAGAAAAGAATATTAGTATTTTGAATCAGGTTTTCGTCTGAAGTGTTTTCTCAGTTGTTTTCAAAGGCTTTAAATATCCTACCTTTTTCAACACTGCCTAGCAGAAATTCCAAGTCTGGCATTGTTTCGCCTTCGTATTTTTCCACGATGCCATCGGTAGCAGGGCATCGAGGACAAGCTCGTATGTCGAGTTTACTGGTGGTTTAGGACCCCCTCCTGAAAATAAGCGAGACAGCATTGTTATTGTTATTCGAATTGAAGACTTCCAATAATCTTGTAATCTTGTTAAATGCATTCATGCAATATACTTGAACAGAGTTGAAAAAACTCGAGTTTTGTTATTGTTGAAAATGTTGAAAATGTTTGTTAGCATCAGAGTGAAGGGCAAAACCTAATATTGAATCAAAAAGTTAGTTGAATGAATTTCATTACCTGTTTTGTTGATCTCCCGATGGTAGCTCCTCGCCTGGCTTGAGATATCTTGCCATTTTTTACGTACTTTGGTCCAGTCCCTTAGTTGGCCCCCACACTCATTCAGCTCATCTGCCCCCATCTTCCAATGATCTTTCTTCACTTTATCTACCTCAGCTGTAGCCTTGCAGCGTGTGCCAAACAATTTGGCTGTATGGCTCTTAATGAACTCGGCCAGAATTTTGACCTCCTCATGAGACCAGTTCGCGGCTCGCTCAGGAGGAACTTTAGTCTTGGACATGACTAGGCCTATTTAATGTAAGTTTGTGAATGACAACAATCCAAATGCTGACAGACGGTTGCACACGCCCCAACCACTGCAAACACAATTTTGTTTAAACATTAACAGATTTATATTATTCCATTTTTCATGTTTTGAATTTTTGTTTTGTTTTACATTTCAATTTTTATGTAAAACTACTTGGCCCTTGTGTTTGTGGACTCTATTTATTTTTAAATATTTTAATCATAATTCTGAGGTGAATATTGTAAACCCCCCCCCCCTCCCAATTTTATGGACATGTTTTTTTTTAAATTTAATACAAGTTTCTTGTTTTCAGAATGAAGCCCTGGTGACGATGGCTGGGAGTAGTTAGAGGCCTATTTTACATTAGCCAGCATAGGGCTGAAGCCTAATGTAACCTGGGAAAATATCAGGTTTTTTATCACTCAGTCAAACTAAGTTTGACTTTGAGTCTTGACTCAATAATTAATAATAATATGGTCGAAATTCTGCCTGTGCTGTGACTACTTTATATACATGTAGTACTAGTAAGAGAAAAGTGGTGGTTCTGTGAAGTATGTCCCTTCGTAAGTTCGTTTTGATTTTGGTGAAAAGAACTGGGGCTTTAGCCTAAATCGCTTTAACTATCGCTAATAATAAAATAAGTTAAAATCTTCTCATTTAACTTCAAATTTAACCCCAACCAGAATACGTACTGAATGTGAATTTAAGCCGAAAGCGTGCAGACAACCGACTGACAGAAGTTTGGATGGATGCAGTGCAGTCTTTACACTGGATACTCTTTGACTAGGACAACAAAGTTTATCGCTGTAAATATCACTCAGTAGGCCTACTTTAATTAATCAAATGAACTTACCAAAATTCCTTAGCAACGTGGACGGTCTTCGTATATTTAGCAGACGACATCGTCGGCCATCTTCAGCGCAACTGCGTGCGCGTCTCTTGGTTTCGCGCGCTACAGACGGCTGTTGCATTGTTGTAGACTGTTTTTCACATAAAAGAGTCGTATGCATTAAGGTCATCCTCGTTCACAAACTCTATTTTATATAAAACATTGCTTGCGATGGATCGTTCTTACGATGTGTTTCGTGAAATTGCAAAAGCAGTTCGTCGTAGCTACGATGCTTCGTAGAGCTGCGATGGCTCGTAAACCCTGCGATGCATCGTAAGTTAAGAACAGTTTCGTGAAATCGACCGCAGTTACAGGACCATCACTGTGTGGACCCATGTAGTAAGACATATGCCAATAACAGACAGGTGTGTGACCAGTTACAGGACCATCATTGTGTGGACCCATGTAGTAAGACATATGCCAATAACAGACAGGTGTGTGACCAGTCACAGGACCATCACTGTGTGGACCCATGTAGTAAGACATATGCCAATAACAGACAGGTGTGTGACCAGTCACAGGACCATCACTGTGTGGACCCATGTAGTAAGACATATGCCAATAACAGACAGGTGTGTGACCAGTCACAGGACCATGACTGTGTGGACCCATGTAGTAAGACAAATGCCAATAACAGACAGGAGTGTGACCAGTTACAGGACCATCACTGTGTGGACCCATGTAGTAAGACATATGCCAATAACAGACAGGTGTGTGACCAGTCACAGGACCATCACTGAGTGGACCCATGTAGTAAGACATATGCCAATAACAGACAGGTGTGTGATCAGTCACAGGACCATCACTGTGTGGACCCATGTAGTAAGACATATGCCAATAACAGACAGGTGTGTGACCAGTCACAGGACCATCACTGTGTGGACCCATGTAGTAAGACATATGCCAATAACAGACAGGTGTGTGACCAGTCACAGGACCATGACTGTGGAGACCCATGTAGTAAGACAAATGCCAATAACAGACAGGAGTGTGACCAGTTACAGGACCATCACTGTGTGGACCCATGTAGTAAGACATATGCCAATAACAGACAGGTGTGTGACCAGTCACAGGACCATCACTGTGTGGACCCATGTAGTAAGACATATTCCAATAACAGACAGGTGTGTGATCAGTCACAGGACCATCACTGTGTGGACCCATGTTGTAAGACATATGCCAATAACAGACAGGTGTGTGACCAGTTACAGGACCATCACTGTGTGGACCCATGTAGTAAGACATATGCCAATAACAGACAGGTGTGTGATCAGTCACAGGACCATCACTGTGTGGACCCATGTTGTAAGACATATGCCAATAACAGACAGGTGTGTGACCAGTCACAGGACCATCACTGTGTGGACCCATGTAGTAAGACATATTCCAATAACAGACAGGTGTGTGATCAGTCACAGGACCATCACTGTGTGGACCCATGTTGTAAGACATATGCCAATAACAGACAGGTGTGTGATCAGTCACAGGACCATCACTGTGTGGACCCATGTTGTAAGACAAATGCCAATAACAGACAGTTGTGTGACCAGTTACAGGACCATCACTGTGTGGATCCATGTAGTAAGACATAAGCCAATAACAGACAGGTGTGTGACCAGTTACAAGACCATCACTGTGTGGATCCATGTAGTATGACATATGCCAATAACAGATAGTGTGTGACCAGTTACAGGACCATCACTGTGTGGACCCATGTAGTAAGACATATGCCAATAACAGATAGTGTGTGACCAGTCACAGGACCATCACTGTGTGGACCCATGTAGTAAGACATATGCCAATAACAGATAGTGTGTGACCAGTTACAGGACCATCACTGTGTGGACCCATGTAGTAAGACATATGCCAATAACAGATAGTGTGTGACCAGTTACAAGACCATCACTGTGTGGACCCATGTAGTAAGACATATGCCAATAACAGATAGTGTGTGACCAGTTACAAGACCATCACTGTGTGGATCTATATAGTAAGACATAAGCCAATAACAGACAGGTGTGTAACCAGTTACAGGACCATCACTGTGTGGACCCATGTAGTATGACATATGCCAATAACAGATAGTGTGTGACCAGTTACAAGACCATCACTGTGTGGACCCATGTAGTAAGACATATGCCAATAACAGATAGTGTGTGACCAGTTACAGGACCATCACTATGTGGACCCATGTAGTATGACATATGCCAATAACAGTTTGGAGCGCTTAGCCATAGGGCCTTCACCGTGAAGTTGATCCTGCTTGTGTTACATATAATTCCATTTTTCTTAGATGATCAAGTTAAAAATAATAGAAAGAGCTCAATTGCATACATTTTGTATGTGGGGAAGAAATGGGACAATAAATCTTTATGTTCCTTCAATGATTTCACTTGCAATATCGTTACTGTCATCTTTCGATACAGGCTTATCATCAGTGTCATTGTTTTGTCTTAGTGTAGAAACCTGGTGACAAGGGAAATGGAGATCATGACGTCAGTAAAATGACATTGATGAATATTGTGCAATAATCCTTTAAATTGTATTATTAGTATTGGTCTTGAATAATACTGTTAGTACAGCGTGAGTCAAAAAAAGCACAACCCAAACCCAAAAACTATATTTCAAATTAAAAAAAATATGTAACACCAAACCTAATAATGACTGGAAAGCCAATTTCATAAGTTTCTTTTACATGAAAAAAAAATGTAATTCCTTAATCCGATCAAACAATATCACCATTTAAACACATTGACCCTAAAACCTCTTTCGTCCAAAAATGCGATTTCATGGTCACAATTGTCTTCAAACATCACCAGTGATTAAACCTCAGTTGAAAAGTTAAAAAAATCAAACAAGTCCTTTTAAAGGCCCGTCTTTTAAAAAAAGTGGATTTTATAAATCATATTGTTTGCCTTAACAGGGTTGTTAATAGAGGATATTGTGTACTACAGTTGTTGACAGTTTTGAAACAAGTATTCTGTGTATTTTCCTTGTTGTTCCAAACAGACAGAATACACAATAAACTGCTTTTCTGGACGAAACAAGTTTTAGGGTCATTGCATTTAAATGGTGCTATTCTTTGAACGGATTGAGCAATTTCAGTAATTTTTTTCATCTAAAAAGTAGCTTATGAAATTGGCTTTCCAGTCATTATTAATTTTGGTGCTACATATTTTTTTTTAAAGTGAAATATATTTTTGGGGGTTTGGGTTCAGCATATTTGACGCACCCTGTCTGATAAAAAAAAGACAGCAAAACTACCTAGCCATTTTAAGCAGTCTGGCAAAATTAACCTCGACACTTAAAGAGTACCTCCTCTTCAAATACTTTATAACCATCTGTAAGTAGTGCATATACACATATAAAGAAACAAGATCTAGTCACTATTGTGTCTGTTAGCCATACTGAAAAAAACCTAGGAATTAGAGTTCGACCGGGTAGTGACGGAAACCTATTATGTATGTCAAAGATAACGTTACATGACAAACAATTAGGGTGAGAGTTAACTGTTTGTTATTCTGTTTTATCTCATTTCTGAGCTAGGGACTTGGTACACTTTGAAGATCCAGTGATAAGTTTCCATTAATCTTAATGCAACATATCTGAAAAAGCACTTCCCTTAACCGAATTATCAGATTGCAGAAGCATGCATTTAGTGTTTTCCTTCATTGTGCAACCATAAGCTGTAACTAGCAAATGCATTTACAGCACAACTCTTTTCAATCAGACCTGACTGTATTATGCAGTTAACAACGTTACAAGCACTAACCTGTTCCTTCAGATTTGGCACTGGTAGACCAGGAGCTGTTGGAGAAATAAATTTGGTAAGTGTTGTCAAAGATGACACTATAAAACAAGAAATTAGATTGTGGGATCAGTTAGCTCTTTAAATTCTAATTTCTAAATATGGTTTCTAAACAGATACACAGTTACAATGTGGAGTGAAAGAAAGGGCACTACAAGTGAAAGGGTATCAAATGCATGCAAGATGAATGCAAGTGGGAAGCAGGCTATGAAAACAGATTCAGGACACGATTGCAACAAGAGGGTGAATTTCCCTCATTTGAGCTCGCTCAAAGCGGGACTTCCATAGCAACATGAGGAATGATTGAGAGGACTTTTTTAAAATCTAAACCCTAAATAGAAGTGATTATTCAGTTTTCTATTGATACCAAAACCAGTTAACGCAATTGTAATGATGGCATTCCTGATTTTGCTGCAGCAGGTCACAAATTATTAGACGAATAAGGACAAAACCGACACTAACAAGATGGACAAGTTAAGTGTCAAATGTTTCAGTGTAAGAGTGGATATATGATACATGTTGATGCTACATTTGGTGGAATGTAAGAGAGACAGCAATCTTAAAGAGAAGAGTGCAAACTATGGAGAGTGCAAACTCTGAAGAGCACAAACTGAGTCTACATGCAGTGCAGGATATGGCATCATGGTGAATATTAAATTCACTTACTGTACAGTTTCTTCACCTATCATTTCAGCTGGAATTGATTACGGTACAAAAATAACACAGAAATGAGAATCAGGATTTATAAAATGCTGCACTATTATTTTCCAAGATGCTTTCTAACTGCATGATTTTTTTTCATCACTTACAGTAAGTAGCTGTCCTCAACATGCATAAAGCAAACAAAAAAATGCTACAACTCTCAGAGAGTTTTGGCTGTCATTGGCCCGTGGCCTGTCAACTATTGACCCATTATCTGTCAACTATAACGTACTGAACTTGGAGGTCTGCTTTTGCACAAGGACAATATAAAACACATTCCTTTAAAGAATCACATCCAACACTATGTACCAAGGTTCATTTTTGTTTTACATCTACGGGGTGAGTCAAAAAAAGCGGAACACAAACCCCAAAAATGATATTTCATATTCAAAAAAATATGTAGCACCCAATTAATAATGACTGGAAAGCCAATTTCATAAGCTACTTTTAGATGAAAAAATTACTGAAATTTGTCAATCCGTTTAAGGAATAACACCATTTAAACAAAATGACCCTAAATCCTATCTCGTCCAAAAAATGCGATTTCAAGAATCGTTGTCACAATTCTAAACATTAAAGGGTCATTGCATTTAAATCGTGATATTCTTTGAACGGATTGAGCAATTTCAATTATTTTTTCCATCTAAAATTAGCTTCTGGATTTGGCTTCCCAGTCCTTATTATTTTTGGTGCTACATATTCTTTTTAAATACAAAATATATTTTCTGGGTTCGGGTTCCGCTTTTTTTGACTCACAAGACTGTATTCAAGGACTGTAAAGACTACTGAGGGAATATTCAAGGGATTTAAGGCAGCAATCAATATTTGTTGTCTTTTGTTCTTTGAAATATTCATGCATTCTAAAAATAGAACACAGCTGCCATAAATGCCTGTTTATTTTATTTTAATATGGCATTTGAGAAAATCATATCACAACAAAAAAACACCACTTTTAGAAGAAAAACAAGTAACCACTAAATATTGTTCCCTAAATAATGTCTAATACCCCCAGTACATTTAATGTTAATTCCTAAACAATACAAAGTTCTTTTGCAAGTTTTTTTCCTAACAAACAGAACCATATTTTCTTTGGAATAACATGAATGTGAAAACCATCATCATCATCACACAATTACCTGTTGCTATTGAGGTACCTGACATCACATCCTCATGATCCTGAAAAGAAAAGTACAAAGACATTAGACAAAGTTTGCCAGCTTATTTATGTAAGTCATTTCACAAGGAATAAAGAAGAATCACTTCCTAATGTGCAGATCTTAAGTGACAGGCATCTGACCGAAAGACACGGTCTACAGGCCCCAGCAATACTGATGCAAAACAAATGTAAGTTGAAAGGTATAATGACAGTTATGCCCTTCACTGAAGTTCTTAAACGATATAAAAAGCTGAACAAATAATAGGCTAATTTTTCACAGATATCAAAGATGCAGTAGCCCATGTAAATAGAAAAATCAAACCAGGCTTCTTAAAAAACTACAAAAAGTGCTGTGAGACAGATGATTTCAGAGCCACAAACTTTTAAAAACTAATTTTCAACCTAAACTTTACTCAGTTTACTTTATTCACAATAAAACATACCTTTATCAACCCACAAAATGTGAGTTGAGGAAAGGGGTCCTCTAAATCTTTGGACTTGGTACTCACAGTTTTCTGTAGATAAAATACATACATGAGCAATCAAGAGATTGTGTGGTGCTCCACTACGAAAAATTAGTCACAGATTTTAACAGTGTTTTATTTTGTAGTGGACATGTGTTACAATACATGTATACAATAAACTGAAAGAATCAAAATGTTATGTTGTCTATTAACCCTAACCTTCCTCAATCCTCCAGGCGTTTTGGAGGATTTGTGAGGATTGAAGCTGAAATGATTTAAGAGGATACATTGCTTTGTCCGCTACCTGGTGCAGGGTGAATAGACTGCATTGCTGGCATACTAGCAGGGCTCAATAGAAGGGATTAGCGAATACAGATACAAGGTATTAAAATAAACGTGAAAAACTCCTCACAGGAATATTCCTATAAAAAAGCCCAAGGGATTAACTTCATGTCAAAGTGGTCTTTTAATGTGAATTTAAGGGGTGGGAATGTTCATAGTGTAAACACCTACACATGTACATTTGGTAACATTATAATACCATTACCGTTTTTGGCAACAGGGTAACTTTGTCTTTATGAGGAGATGGGGTTTTGCTTCAAACGTTGATATGCTGTTGAAGCCAACTCCATGCCTAATTCAATTCATCTGATATTTGAACAGGCCAAAGAATTGCAAACAAACCTACGTTGTATTGGAAATACGTACAACAAATAAACCAAATAACTTCAAACCTTTCTCCATGGTAGATTGGGGATCCCGTAATCATATCGCAGCTCTGCGCCAATGGGAAGATCTTCTGTGGCAAATAAGCACAGATGGTCATCAACTAACTGGGCTTTGCAGTTAATTTCTCTCCCACACCCATCATTTACCATTCTCCCAAGCCCTCTTGATTTTGTAGCATCCACGCTGAATAAGAAAAATAACAATGATCCTGATTAGGTCAACATTTCTTTGCTCAATTTAAATAATAATAACATTGAAAGAAATGTCCAGATGAACAAAAGCAACAGGCTCTTCAGGTTTGATCTCCATTTTCTACACCCTTGAATGCAAGGTAGGTACATAGCTCATAAGTTGCAACTGTTCAAAATGTACATGTACAGTCTTATTATACAAATATTAAGTGGCTCAGAGTGAAATGGGAGGAACATTATCATAAGATGAAATCGAGTGAAATGGAAAAGTCCAGAGTGTTCCGAGCTATAATATTCCTCCCATTTCACAATTTGAAGCCACTCAATATTTGTTTTGTATATAATCGACATACATATCCTTGTCATTTGATTAGTGGAACTCACATATATACACATTATATACACATCGAACCCAACAAGCAAGCAAGTCAAAAAATGTACATTGCAAAATTGGCTGAACGTTGAATAAAAAACGAGAATGCATTTGCACAGTTTTTGAACAATACGGAGTCTTCTTCATTTCAATAATATTCTAAACATAATCACTGTACTTAGTTTTACAGATATGTAACATTTTACGTAACATTACTTGCAAAAGTATCTCCGTTTTCAAAACTGCAAAAACTACTACTTCGCAACAACTTTATCAATAAGGAAACCTTGACATAATTCTTTGATAGGTCAACTTTGATTGAAATCCAGTAATTTTAATTGACACAGTGGTTTATTAGCCAAAATAAATTAGTAAAGATGCCCGTCACCTAGTTGAAACAAAAATCTCAGTTGACCTAATTTTACGCCTTTCCGTGCAATACTTATGTACATTTTTAAGAGGCAGGCGTGTTTGCACTTCTTCGTGAAGATGCAATTATCGAGATGCCTTTTTCTGGCGTCATTAATGTTATTCCGGAATTAATTATCCTTTGCTTACGGAAACTTGTCAGAACGCTGAAGTACCATGTTTTTAAGCACCATAGGCAAAAAAACTCAAATTGTCAATTTTGATATGCCCATTCCTTCGTGAAAATTGTGATGAAATTACAAAGCAATGGTCATTGCATTCTAAAAATCCTCAGTGGTAGCAATCATCAGATGAACGCGTCCTTCCATCAATATGGCAACAGTACAGTGTTGAATAAACTCGTCTGTAAGATGCAGCTCAATGACAATCCTGTAATAAGGAATAAAAAACAACAGAATTGATTTTTTCAAATAATTGGCGACAACCAACAGTCGTGTGAAAAATTTACATTCCTATTTTAGCTTGATGGCGCAATCATGCCATATGAGTTGGACACAATTAGCCTATACATGTCTCGCCAGCGTCCTGCCCAGTAAATTTCTTTTCGTTCATGAGGAATCAAAGTTCGCAAAAGAACGAATCAAATGCTTTGCCTCACTACCTGGATCGTCGTATATAGTTCAGCCAGAAAAAGGGGGTATCGTGCACCTTCGGAAATCAATTTCTAATCAATGTCTCTAGGTCGAAGAAAATGCGTAGAAAACGATTTGCTATGTTAAAAACATTTTAAAATGTCCCACGTATTGTTTTAATGCAAATTAGTGCCTTTAATTTTAAATGTTTTATCGCTCATGGCAAATTTCTAGCAGTAAAACTGAATGATGGCCATTTTGTTTGAGCACTGTTCGTGTCCGAGTACTTACATCATAATATAGGTTTTCCCAGCGAATTTCCGAATTTTTCTAATCAGTTTCATTATCAGCCATTCAATTTTGCGCGAGTTTTGCACACGTGGTCCAATTGGGGTTTCTTTTTCATTTGGGGTTCATTCAATTTCATTTTTAGGCAGCCAAGATTTTGCTGTGAATGTTCGTTTTTGTTTTGGGGCAGCCTATTTCGCTTTGGTGCATTCAAGACTTAGCATGTAGCTGTCTTAAATTAAGTCTTTGCAACCTTTTGACGGTTGACGGTTGACGCGAACATCTGTGCGCTTATAACGTATAACCATGCGTTTCTTATTCGTTTATAGGCAATCGCTTTCATCGTTTGGTCATTTATATTAATAAGAGTTTTTAATCGATATTTTTTTCTATTTTTCTCCGAGGTTCATTTCCCCCCCCCCCCCAAAAAAAAATCTTGATGACTGTAAATTTTACAATGTTACAAATCAACTGATATGAGGGAAACAAGATGCAACGAGATAATTAATTGAAAGGGACTAAGATAATTTCTTTTTCACTGTTGATATTGTCTACTTGTTGAAACGTTTGATCAAGGGGTTTTGTTATGTTGACGATTTCTTGACGTGCAAGACATCGGAACACGTAATACGTTTGGCAATGGTTGTACCGTCGGGAACACTTCTCTTGCGTTATTTCTTGAATGTTTTCTTGCGTATGTCTGACCGAACACTTACCATATTCATAGGGCCAATGCAAAGTTTTCAATGCAATACATCTTTGTGTCACATTTAACCTTATTTGCAAGTTTTATTTTCCATTTTGAGGGGCGTTTTTGGTGCCTTCTCCGTTTTGATGCTAATGCAAAGTTTCATATTCATTAGAAAACCTGTGATGGCATTCCGAGCATGATTAATGTTACACGGCTATTTCAGCAAAAAAAGTTGCTAGAATTTTGGATATTTTGCTGTCATAAATTTATTTTATTTCGTGATTATTTGATGTGTCAGTACATGTTTTCAATTACAAAATTTCGGATGAATAATTTGGAAGAAAAAACCCTGAACTGAACAGTGTCTTCCTGAAATGACATCACAGTAACAGCGTTAGTCCGGAAAAACATGGAAACTTTTAAATGCTTAGAGAAGTGCACATTTGCAATAAGATTAACCCAAAAAGTGTTGTCAAATGTGTAGTTTTCTTACATTTCACAGAGTTGCGCAAAAAGAATTCCTGAGAAAAATTCATTGCACATACCCTTTAAGAAAGAAAGTCAATCTACGGTTTGAAGTCATCAAATATATGATTTACGCTAAGGAATACGGACACGTATGAAGTCTTAAAAGATATTTGACAAAATGTGAAACATGTTTGCCCATTAATGAAAACGAATGCCCGACCAACCCCTTACTAATGGTTTAGACGAAATTTAATGACCAACGCAATACTTTGAATATGAATGCATTGTTGATAGGGACGAGTGAAGCTAAAAGGCATAGCATGCCTGGATAGTGAAATTGAATGATTCTTTTTGATTGTCGAATGCCGATCTGCGTGATCTTTCAATTTCAATCTAAATCGAATGAGCCAAGCGTTAAATTGAATAAAAACTTGGTGAAATTAGCCGGGAAAACCTATATTATGTTGACGAACTCAAATGATTAATACTAAAGAAATTTCAATTGATGATCCACACAGGCTGACATGAGGCTTTCACTAACGTCTGGGGAAATCCAGATAATGATTGATAGCCGAATTATGGCCACGCTAACGAAAGGAACCACATACATTTTTTTTGGGGGGGGTCACTTTTTTAAAATGACCTAATGATGATAAACAAGTCAGCAGTTTCATTGTTTCTGTGGGCTGTGGGCACGTGCATACACATGCGAGGATAAAACCAAGCATTTTTTCACTGGGCTTGTCCTAGATATACAAATATCAAACATGCCCCTCCAGGCAAGACTAAACTTTCCCATACAACATACCACAACGAGTTGACTTGTGTTTTACATTTGAGTTTCCTTAATTGTGAATGAATAATACATGTTATGCATACCTATTGTCAAAAATATGCCGGCAACATTTGCTGACATCTCTCTGTCTTTATCTGGAAACCGTCTATCCGTCCTTATCATGCTTAGAACACATTCACATACACTGCTCCTCTCAAACAACCAGCTACTACCATTAACGCTGGCAATAGTGCAACTGGGAGAAATTTGACCTGAGGAAACCAAAACAAGTACCCAATATATGACTGGCAAAGAAAAACAAAGCATGGTTTTAAGTACATCTATGGAATTATTATAACACCACACCCACACATTCTGTGTCTTGATTGGCTGAGAGCGAGTCACATGTTACTTTCTAATTTTGCTATCTTTCTGTATGTGCACGGCCAAATGTACTATACCCGTAGTAACCAAAGTACTATACCATTGGCAACCAAAGTACTATTTCCACGGCGCAGTATTTGTGTGCAAATGGATGCTTGTGTGCGCGTTCCGCGTATTGTTTCAAAGAGAGTGCGCCGCAGACTTGGGTTCAAACATTTCGTGAAGGGGTAGTTTTGGAAGAGAGAAATACTTTTTCCACCAATTTTGTATTGAAATTGAAGTTTAGTTCAACTGTGTTCACATTTAAATAATTAAAAATATTAAAATCAAGCAGAATCTGTGGGTGAAGTGTTATAAAACAAATATTGAATGCTTTACCTCGTGGTGAAGTAAAACTCCCTCGATGATCAATGGACCATTCTATTTTCCCTCGGCTTCGCCTCGGGAAAATAGAATGTCAATGGATCACCTCGGGAGGCTAGTTTTATTACCATACCATGTAAGTATGGACAGAATTTATGCATTCATGCAACACCGCTGCCCTAATCCTTACAAGCTAGGTGATTTCTGTCCAAAGAGGGTCATTCATAGATTGTCAAGGACAACTGTATGTTTTTTGTTCGTGAATTTAATTATGTCTGGGCTATTTGAATATTAAATTGATATTTTCCCCTCACAGAAGTGTGGTGGGAGTCTACGAGCGATACTTACCTGTAGAGCCACTACTTTTGCATATTCCCCTAACCGGCAGGTTCCATTCACTAAGAGTTTATACAACAGCGCCCTCTATAATGCTACCCACACTGCCCTGTGCCACGAGCGCCATGTGGGCTTCCTCTTTTCTCGTGCTCTACAGGATTAAGCTCTTTTTAGCGAACTAGTGGGGAGGAGGGAGGGATGCTCTAACGGTAAGAATCGCTCGTAGACTCCCACCACACTTCTGTGGGGGAAAGTCATCTCAGGAGAAAGTATCTCCTGAGATGTTTTGGATGTAGGCTTACGCATGTTGATTTTGTCAGTGGCCTCTATGCGTTTAGCCTCTGCCTCCATTAGTTCTTGAAACTTGCCAGCAAACAAGTCGTTGCCTGCCAGCGAAAGGTCGTCAAGTTGCTTGTGTGCTCCTTCAGTTGGTAGATATAATGAATTTGGAAGCCCGTTTACCGTAAGGTTTCCACTTCTTGGTCTCCATTACAGTCTTGATGTGTTCTACGCACATTTGATCCTGAGGAATAGTCGGGAAAATTGGATTATGTGTCTCTGAGCAAACTGGGCCCGTATGTTGCTTGAATGACTAACGTTCCGGGACCTTGGGAGTCTCATCACATTGAGGTAGTTGGAGAACACGAATCATTTCTCTCTTGCACCAGTCGTAATTCTGTCTCGGAAGTTAGGAAGGTGCTGAATCTCCATATTATCTTCTTCCTCAGATTTGGTGCGAGTACGGTTGGAATTTCCCTGAATAGATTGGGTCTGAACCCGCAACACCTTGTGCTTCATGCACTGTACTCTTGTTCTTTTCCCTGCATGAACATCTGTCTGTTCCGGTCCAGTGCTCACACACGGAGCACCGAACGAAACCACGTCGACCGGGCCCGAGTACCCCTCAGCGCGCGCTGTTCGCCCAGCGCCGAGGGGCTCGGTAACTTTTGTTCCCGCAATAGATACGGCCTGCTCCGGTCCATGGCTCACACCGGGTTCAGAAACAGGCCGAACGGGTAGTAGAACAGCCGGGCCCGCTAGTTGTCGACCCAAGCCGCTACCGTTGTTCGTCCCCAGACTGAAGGAGTGAAGCACAATAAACGGGGAAAACGGTCTCATGTGCAGACCGTAGAACCCGCCGTATCTGATACGGTTTCCGTGCTCTCCTGTCGTGACCAGAGAGCACGGAAACCGTATCAGATACGGCGGGTTCTACGGTCTGCACATGAGACCGTTTTCCCCGTTTATTGTGCTTCACTCCTTCAGTCTGGGGACGAACAACGGTAGCGGCTTGGGATGTTTAGTTCCCACTGCATCAGTCGGGGTAACGTGGTCTGCCCGACCTGCAGGGTCTCCAGTCTGGCGGGACGGCGAGACGACATTGTCTGCCGAGCCACGCTCAGAAGACGAAAATCGGGGCAACGCCCTTACGAAGCGACATTTCTCTTCCTTATTTATTCACTCTTGACGAAAATAGGTATACAGGTAGACGAAGGTACTGTAAAACACGTCTTATCTGTCCCGCCGCTAAGTGAAAAGAGGAAGCCAGCATGGCGCTCGTGGCGCAGGGCAGTGTGGGTAGCATTATAGAGGGCGCTGTTGTATAAACTCTTAGTGAATGGAACCTGCCGGTAAGGGGAATATGCAAATTGTAGTGGCTCTACAAGTAAGTGAATGAAGTAGAATTTCCTTGATTTGAACAAGTAATCCAGTTTTGAATGAGACACTGAATGAAAAAAAAAAAAAAAAAATCGTTATTTATATTTGCATCCCAAGTTATTTCTCACAGGGTACACTGATTTTGTGCCCCATTACCACTGGACTAGGAACCAATCTACGGCTACGCAGATTCATTGTGTGTAAAATACAGCTTTTTTTGAGACAACGTTTCAGGTGCCCATAAAGAAATAAGTAAAGTAATAACAAATACAAATTGAAATGTCTTAAGAAAACCCCAAAAATATCTGATAGATTGAAGAGTATGGACAGTTCATTCTTTAGAATTGAAATAAAATTACTGAAAAAAATCAAGATACTTAGAATCATTTGCTTTCCATTAGCAACAACATTGCGCAAGATCTAAATGAAGGGAGCACCACGGAGCGTATTGCTACCAAAGTAACAGATGTTCTTTCGGGACCACCATATCCACCCATTGGATCCGTCTCATATCAGTTGATGAACTGGTGAAATTTACGTGCTTTGATAGGTTTGCTGTTTTCATGCTTGGGCGCATCCTGAGTTGAGGTAGCAAAGGCCTGACTCAAACTAGGCGGTTCTTGAACCGCGCGTGTGTGTGACCTTAGACATCATTATAATGTGAAGGTTGCCACGTTGCATCTATGACCCTTTCAAATGCCACATTTTACGAAACCAAAATACCACACACATACTACATACACCAACATACATACATACATAAGTGATTGCCAAATCTCTTTCCTGAATAAAGTCCAGGCGAGACAAAAATAACGACAAAATATGGGATGGAAAATTTGATACGTAACAAGACTAATGTTAGTGAACTAATGGAAAATTGGATACGTTGTCACATGAAAATCCGACTCCTATGAAAATCGGACCCCTATTTCCCTATCATTGGTTAATCCCTAACACGTGACAGGTCACTCTCCGGAAACGATCCTAAAAATAGCATAGTATCGTACTCACGCGTGCGCAGTACTACCAATGAGTCCACATTTCATGGAGTCGGATATTCACGCTACACCGTAACAAGACTAATGTTAGTGAACTAACACAGGGCTGTCTCAGCAATTGTTTTTGGTGATATCTTGGCACGTACAGTTACAAGTACAATTTTCATCCATTGCATTAGATATTGGGATGTGTACAATTGAGGGTGGTGTCATACAATAATACATGATGCCATTTTCATAGGGCTTCAAATTATGCATCTTTAACGTGACATCACATGACACACGATGACGTCACTTAAATTTTCATATACAATGTATAACACAACCCGTTTTAGATACATACCAAGTTTCAACCCAATGGAACCCGGAAACAATTTTCACCTACTGGGTTTGTGGTGTGTGTGCCCTTAGGCACGACACTTTGTCACTCATTGCTTCTCTCCACCCAGGAGTAAATGGGTACCTGTGAAGGCAGAGATGGTTATTGTGATTGTTTTTAGCTGCTTTGGGCCGGAATGGCAGCATCAAGCTGTATACTCCCAAGGGAGCTGAGATGGTATTTGGAATGTTTCATTGGCCCAATAAGCAGGGTAATAACGATGTAGCAGCTTGAGCACCAATAATAGTGGATACGCGTGCTTTATAAAAACATTTTTCAAATTCGACTAAAACCACAAATTTATTTAATATCTTTTTGTTATTTTCTGATTGCGTCTCAAATGTGTCATTTCTTAATTTACCTCCTAAAAATACGTTAGACTCAATATTCAAAGCATACTAAACAGGGATTTATGGGTTGTCGGTTCGTGGCTTTTGAATTTTCCATTTTTCGTTATATTCTGTTCTTTTGTATATTTTAAATAATGTTGTGATGTTGATCTAGGTAATCTTTTTTTTTGGGTAACTCTTCTCTGAAATCAGTACTGCTTTGGTCCGAAAAATCCTGCCAGCGAATGTGGCTTATTGTGCTTTGGGATACAAGGGCAATTCTATAGAACACAACTGACTTATTTACTTCATACAAGCTGGATTGATAAAAGACAAATTTGATCTCTGAATACTTCCAGTTCCACAACAGCCTCGACGAATGTAATCTGTAATGACGAATATACTCGACATGATGACTTGAAGAGGGTGACTAAACTTTGAAATTGAATAGTAAATGACTAAAGTGATATTAGTAAAAGCACGTGAATTTTTTTCTGACAAAGTCCCCCCCACAGAAGTGTGGGACGAGTCTACGAGTGATACTTACCCAAATAGCTACTACATATGCATATTTATTCGGCCGACAGGCTCAAACGCTAAAAGATTTAATCAACCACTGAGCGCCCTCTCGGGGCCTACCCATCATGCTACGTCATGAATCCGCCATTATACTTCCTCTTTTTTTCTCGCGCACTAAAGGTGAAAAACCATCGTAACGCGAGCCGAGAGTGGGGAGGAGGGCGGGAAGCTATTTGGGTAAGTATCACTCGTAGACTCGTCCCACACTTCTGTGGGGGGGAGTCTACTTCATTCACTTACCCAAATAGCTACTACATATGCATAGAGTGGCACCGACAATCGGTGGCTGGGTAGGCGAGACGCCCTGAAATCAAATGGTTAAACAACAGTATATATATATATATACATAATGATTTAGACCATTTAGATTGAATATACATGTAAATGTATTACCTGCTTAGTTAGTCTCCTGGTCAGACCGGGAAGAACTACTGCGCAGGGTAGGGTTCGTAGACGAGGACTGGTGTTGTGTCAGTACCGTCTTCCCTGTGTTCCCTCCAGTCTGGAGTACATCACGTAGGTAGCAGGATGTGAATGTTGTGGCAGACTTCCAGCATGCTGCTTGAGAAATCTCTGAAATAGGGACTCCGCTAAAAAATGCCCAGGACGCCGCTACGGCGCGTACGTCATGGGCTCGGACAAGGCCTTGGACAGAAGCATCCTTTTTGGATGGCCAATCCGCATTAGCAAATTTGATAGCAGCTACTACCCAACGCGCAATGGTGTCCCTTGAGGCGGGGCCATGTGGTTTTATGGTTGTAATAAAGAGCTGCATGCATTTATCCCTGAGTGACTTAGTGCGTGCCAGATACCATTTTAGGGCGCGCACTGGGCACCATAATTTGTCTGAGGGGATAGAAGAGGTTGACTCTATTTTTGGGAGGAAAATATCAGGAGGGCTGAAACTTGCCGTCTGATTTTTCGTCAGGAAGGACGCCTTTGGGATCAGGCGAACCCCACCTGGTTCCCAGCAGATATGTCCCGAATCTAAAGTCAGCGCATGGATCTCGCTGCTACGCCTAGCGGTAGCCGCTGCGAGCAGGAAGGCCAACTTTATAGATACATGAATGAGGGGTGCTTGGCCCAAGGGCTCGTATGGAGCCTTGGCCAAAATGTTCAGGACCTAACCTAGATCCCAGGATGGGACCAGTTTCCGGATTGTAGGTCTCTCGTTGAACATTCCCCAGAGTAGGTTAGTGATTGCAACATTAGAGGAGATAGATGAGCCATCAGTGAAGCCTTTGTGAATTGCTGCTATGGCTGATCGATAATTTCGTATCGTTCCTACTGACAAATTGGCTCTGAACAATGACAGTAGGAATTCTGAACAATGGCTTAAAGAAGCACAGAGCGGATCCACAGCCTGTTCTGCGCACCACCTACTATAATGTCGTAGTCGACTATCATAGATTCGTCGTGTTGAGAGACGACGTCCCTTTGCGGCCAGAGCTGCAGCGTCTTCAGAAAGACCTGCTGCTCGGTAGACACGCTTGACAGTGGCCAGCACGCTAAGTGAGATCTCCCGGTGTTGGAACCGGGACTGAGGTTGAACAAGTAGGTCGTGACGATCTGGGAGGATTAGTGGGGAGCCCACTAGGAGCCTCACCAGTCGCGGAAACCAGGGCTGACGCAGCCAAAAGGGGGCGATCAGC